ATTAACTTCAACCAACATTGTGAAACAACTAAAAAAAACAAATAATTTTTTCGTGATCGCATCAATCGTGAACCCGTAAATTTTATTTAAGCTTTAAAAGTAGTGCATTTCACAACAAGTTTGTGCAGGTAAATTTCAAATTCAACATGCACACTATGCATGCAGGGAAAAAATTCTATTTCTATCCCTGACTTCTGTCCACTTTGTCGTTGATACATTGATCACCACTTATAAACACCCCCATTAAATGTATAATTGATAAACTTGAACTTGAATTAATGCAGATGATGGGCTGAGTTGTTGCAGTGATAAAGATTAATATATGTGTATTAATTCCCTTGATGCCTTGTCAAAACATAATTCAGTTTTATGGCCATCACACTGTCACATCATTTGTTTACATGTGTCTTATACAGCTCACAAAATCAAGCCAGGGAGCTCTGTGGAGAAAAAAAAACCTTTTGTCAGAAAAATTGATGCTTGAGTGTTTCGTATATGAAGGCAACCTACACTTGGCAAAAAAACAAAACATTGTACATAAATTATGTATTTTCAGTCACGTTTTCAATAAATTTGCCTTTTTAACACATGTGGCATGAGTGATTTCTGAAATCTTAGTGACAAGTTGATTTATGCAAAGGCTAACAACTGTCATGGCATTGTACCTTGCTTAACCATTTCAGTGCCAAACTCAACTTCTGTCACAATTCAAACATTTTCACCCCACATAATTTTTTTCATAATTTTTCTAAAATTGTTATCACAACCTGTAGCTAATAGGAAATTATGTTTATTTGGTTCAAAATTATCAAAATATGTTTTAAAAAAATGGGAAAATGTTGCTCCAAAACTTTGCTGAGAAAAATGATGGCACTCAAAGGGTGTCTGCATTTACAGTACAATACTTGAAGAGATTATTAATATAAAAACTAACAATTTCAGTAAATTAAAAAAAAATTTTTTTTTTCAAATTTTTGTCTTTAAACTGTGATAGGATAATGGTTTACATACAGTATTGTCAGCATCTGCTTTACGTCATTGCTCTGGACATTCTTCCGTTTCACACTGAAGTAAAAACACTTTGTGTCATCATAATTTGTTAGCATAGCTGAACTCAATAAAATATTAAGCTGATATTTAACTTTAATAATCATAATTTTGAACCCAAAACAAAATGTGACATTATTTCTAAATTTTGATAAAAAAAATTGAAATTTTTTGCAAAATTTCATGTGGAAAGGAGCAGATTATAAACGGAACTATTTCGTGGATGGTGCCTGAAGTTGATTATGCTGTTCAAACGGTTTAAGTAATAAAAATACTTTTGTAAGTCTACTTGGCTACCTGTTTTAAAAGCTGGTACACGTATATAGTCCCATATAGTAATATTTGGTGGTCCATTGGGTACTAATAGAGCCATGCAAAAAGTGTAAATACCGATATATATAAATAAATGTCATATTGCTCAATTTCATTAAAACTGACGAGCCTTTGTTCGAGGTCAAACTGGTTTATGTAAAACTAAGTGTCCTTTTTTTTATGGTCAAGCCAAATTTAGCTTCTAGTTTTTGAAAATGGTAATCATGGGATAAGAGTTAATTGCAATTCAGCATGCATTAGGTTATACTACTAATGTCGAGCACTGAACTACGAACTGAAAATAGATTTCAGTGAGTAGTTTATAAGACATTAGTGGAGCAAACAATATAATGTTAGTTCGCTGTCGTGCACTGTTTTAAACAAATTTGATTTATCGTTAATGATATATGCTAAAAAAAATGTAAGAATATTTGTTTTGGAGTCTCAATTACTTATACGTACTCAATCACCGTTTCACTTAATGGGGAATATGCAAGTATGTATCAAATGATGGCGTTGATAGGAGTCCAGTAGTGTCCAATCATAATAGAATATTGTACGGACAGCAAAGCACTGCTAATAGGATAACAATAATTTCCATTTAGTATTATTAATGTGGCAAATTAGTTTTATTACACCTCGGTTATGACTATAAATAGAATTCTGTTATTGTTACCATAGCAACCAGGCCCAGAAAAGAAGTACACAAAAATAGTAGTTTGAAAAAACCTGCATAAGGTTGAGTGCAAAACCAGCTCGCTCTTGAGAGATATACCACATATTTTTGTGGGCAAGACATTTGGGCACTCTCATCGCCTGGAAACCATCACGGTAAAAAGAAAAGCTGAAATCTCTCAGAAAACTTTACTTTCGGTTAGTTGTTGAGACTCCCCTGAACATTAAATCGAGATTACTACATGTGCAACATATATAAATTTTGTTGAGTTTGTGTTCTGTTGTTTTCTTGACCGGCGTTCCACAGCAACTCGTGTGTAGTACATAGAACAGTGTATATTGTTAGGTGGTGTTCATCCAAGTAATATAGAACGTTCTGTAATATAGCTCTGACCCCGAGAATAGTATTTGTTTAATGTTCACACCAAAAAAGTACAAAATAAAAACCACGAGGCAGTTAAATTTCTCGTGTCGTGCGAGACCACTGTGTCCCTCCCAAACAATTAATATATGTACTGCAAATAAAAAAATTTGCTTCACACATAGCAAAACAATTAAAATTTAGTAATATTTAGTTAATTATGTATATCAATTTTGGGTCCTAGAAACATTGAATTTCTTTGAATTGGTCCAATGTGTAATTTTTCCAGATGAAAAATCTTTCTGAAATCTTTCAACCTAATGAATGGAGGGTAGTACTTGTAGATAATCTGTCCAAATGCTGAATGACAAGAATGTTACATCTGTTTGTTGTTTTTGTTGGATTAAGTGGCAGAGTTCATTGACCTCAAACATTGCTCATATATGTGGTATTGATGAACCAATGAGAAATTTATGCCGCATTTCAGTCGAGTACATGCTCTGTTTTGTCTAATGACAATTAAGTATAAGTGCAAGACTTGTTCCATTATTGGACGTCTATAGTAATGATTACTGATTGTATTTCTTCCAAGAATATTCCAAGGACTTTACATTTAAACTACCTATCCCAGTTGTTACTGATATGCATGCACAAACAAATTAAGGTACAATTTCATGAAAATCTTCTGATTTTTTTCTTCTATTTTTGTGAATGGATTTATTATTGCTGTACAAGGTCACATGTAAAGTAAAATAAAAACAAAATTTCTTAATTCCTTTTAAACTTGTGATAATGAAATAATGAATCTAGAACAAGATTTTGAAAGAATAAAAAATTGACGTGGATACAGACAGTCAGCAGTGTAATTTGCCGTATGCTAATACATGCGCAATAGAACTTGTTTTCACGCGAAAAACACCTGTGCTTCCACTTCAATCCCAATGTTAAATTGGGTTTTAAAATGAGGTTAATCTACCACATAACCTCTGTCGATGTACAATTGTTTATTGGGACTTTTTACAACTATAGTGTATGTAACACTCTCTGCAACTAACAATACTACGCATGACCTAGGTGACCTGTTCCTACTTGTTGATTGTAAGGGGTACGTGCAATTCAGAACGCAGAAATAAAACATGACAAATTGTTATAATCATTGTATTCATTTTTTTGTATAATTCCACAAAAATATTATAATATTCACAAAAGAATCGCCTAATTTATATGTAAATTAGGCATCCAACTAGTGCCCATATTTATTACCCAAAGTCTTTCCATCTGACTATCACCTCAATGTATATATACCTAGAGAAGAGCGTGTACCCGTATTTAAGTGCACCCTTTTTGGTAATTTGATATTCGGCCATTTTGTATTATATCGCCAAATGTTAGAACAAATCTGATTGGATGCTTGTTTTATTAGCACTTCTAATCAAATTTATGTATGTTTAATTGTTTTCTGTTTAATTTATTCATTTACTAAACATACAATAATGTGGTTTCCATAAATGTTCCCTGATATTCTAATGCTTGTCTTTAAAAAAAAAAAATGTGCTGTCAGATTTGTTTTTGATCAATTATGTTTACAGTAAAGTGTTCCCAATTTGGCAAAAATTCTGGATAATACAATCAGTTTCATTCAAGTCCTATTGAAATGTTATCATGTTTGGCCAAATAAAATTTTAGGGTAGGCAATTAATTTTAAGGTAGGGTAGAGTTTTTAGAACCATGTTGTATGAGAGTCAACTACACGGAGATTTGAATGCATTTATGGGTAATTCTTTTTATCGTACATGAATGGAGGGCACTATCAAAACTAGAAAGTCCCCCATTGAATCATGGGATATACTATTGTCTATGATGTTTACGGTGTCCTATTGTTATCTTAATCTGTGAATTTGTATATGAGTTTCAACAAAGATGTGCTGAAGAAATCAAGTGCTACCATATCTACTTGGATTTGGAATATCCAATTTTAACCTTATGAACAGCATAGTTTTTCCCACAAAAATTTTTGTGCAACATTTCATCACTTTTTCCTATTGTTTCCTTTTTAATTTTGGACCAAATAAACATTATAACATGCAGCAAGGTCTTATACATGTATCTAGCACTGGAAGACCTGTGATCCTGCCCTGAAACTGAATAAACTGGCCGTGTCCTCAACTCACAAAATCATGATTTTTTAGGTGTAGGGGCACCCCACTCGGAAAAGAGTGCAAATGACGATTTTAATTCACCATGTGACAGATTGAGGGGGAATATTGCGTCTTTGAGGGAAAATAAAATTACTAATTAAAATTAGTTGCGTCGTCATTGATTTTTAACAATGAAGATAATTTACGATAATTAAAATACCGGGGGTAAATGTAATTGAATCAAGATCACATGATTGTGGCTTGTTGTCTATTTCATAAATGCAGAGATTCATATTCTTACATGTATGCTCCGTTATCTGTCACCAGATATGCTAATTTTCCGCTGATTTGCCCTCTTATATCTGGCTACCAAATACCGGAGCGTATTTTTTTTAATCTCTAATAATTTCCCATTGTCTAACTTGTGAAAAGTGACATAAGTTTGAACATAATAATTCATTTTTCAGAACGAAGAAATCATCTGGCTTCGATGAAGACCTCGATGCTATGATAGATGATATATGCGACGTACCAGAACCATTAGAAAAAATAGAAATAAAACGAGAAAGATCAACATCTCTCAATTCAAATCAACAAATGAAATGTTTTCCTGTGTATATTGGAGGCAGCAAAATACCACAAGGACTAGGCACCACAATGTCACAGAGGTAAGTGTCTCTGAAATGGTCCTTTCAATCCATGTACCTGCATGGTCCAATTCTTCAGAAAATCTACATATTACGAGGCACATATGTTTTTGATGAGCTATTAGTCTGTCCTTCTCTCTGCCTTCCATAGACATCGATAACTGCTAAACTATTTGATTTGGTTTTTAGGCATAAAAGATGTAGCTTAATTGCTGGCTTAGGTGGTACAGTTTATCCTATAAGATCCACTTAATTTAGAGGGTGAAACTTTTATGAGTTTTTGGTCAAAATATCTATAACTTTTCATCTCAGAAAGTCAGTTTGCTTTCTTACTTTCATACAAAATTGCATATATTTTATTCTTGTTCATTAAAATGTGACTAATTGTGGCCAGAGATACAATGTATTTACATATTTAAAAAGACACATTCACTACTAATAGAGCAAATACAATTAATTTACACAATTAAAACTTCCTTTGACAAGTAACAGTTTTTATGCTCTCAATTCGGTTGACTTTTATTGAGACACAGAATGTTGACCTCGGATATGGCTGTCAGGATATAAGCATGGAAATGTTACAAAGTATTTCGTTTCCCCTTTTTCAGGAGCTGTGATAAACTACGCTGCACTGACTGTGATTTTAAAGTTGTAATGTATGATAATTTTGAATGGCATCCAAGCTGTGATTATCTTTTCCTAAGGAATAATGTACCTGATTTTAAAAAACTTAGTGCCAAGTTGAATAAAAAGAAAGGTGAGTGCGCCCTCTAGTGGTATACCTAGAATGCCTTTTGTTTTTTTAAATTTGTAAAAGTCTATTTAAAAAGATGCAGATGGTATTTATCATTAAGTTTTTGTCAGTGTGATTATTGGTGATTAAGAGTTTGATTTATGTATTTTCCGAAGGAAAACCAATGATTTACCGCTGTTTGTTGTGACTAATAATCAAATGCCAATTGTGACATGAAATGTCTAGGTCAGACTATTCTTCTGATTCTCAAATTTATTTTTCATCATAATTTTAATTTTTGTTAGCAAACTGACAGGATGTGATATTGTTTACTGAGTTTGATATAAACTGTAAATAACATTATTATAGTCGCATATCCATAACTGTTGGAATAATTAATATCAAGGATTTTTGCAAGGCAGTAAACTACCATGGGATACACCAAACAATCAAGTAAAACAGTTGGTGTTAAATTTATCGTCTGTGCACGTTATCAACATTTGATCTATCTCTTGCAAAACAACGTATTATGGCCATGTCAGTTCTATTTCCAGTAAAATCATTGTCAAGACTGCTGTGTTACAATATATTTTTTTTCTATTTCCTAGCAAGTAGAAAAGTTGGTGATTATGGTCAAAGTAAAATGCTAAATTTAATTTAATAGTTTGTGTTTATAGAATTCTGGTTTAAAAAAATACATGTTTCAGTTTCTGTATATTATTTTTCATTTATCTAATTATTGAAAATCCAAAGATGTGGTGTTACTATTACCAGATGACATGGTCAAAGTAATTTTACTTTCTATGAAATTTGTTTACCAATATACCCACAGTAAGGCTTTGAAAGGTCATAGGTCAAAAGGTGTAAATGGCAGTAAATCATACTAAAACAATTGGGCAAGTTGTTTAACTTTTTCACCACCAGACTTTCTTGGCCTAAATTTTCCAGCACTTTTTTTTTTTTTTAAATTCTTCAATAATTCTAAAAATGAACCCTAATTTTGGAGCCAACAAACAAAGTTCGAGTCAATTTTCAGTTTTTACTCAAAAAAATTGGCTTTTTTTGTCCCAATCTCCTGAAGGGAAGTGCTGACTATAAATGGGAATGTGAATTTGTGATGAAAAGAGGGAACTGGTGGTGAAAAGGTTATTCACGCTCTGAAAATTTAGTAATATCTAGAGATAAAATGCATTTTGGGAATGATTTGGAAGAAAAGATAAAATGATATGTCTATCAGTAGTGATCGTCGTTTTAATTAAGTGATGCGTATGTGCATTGTGGTACTCCCATGATGCATCTTACTGATGTTAACAATAGCAGAATTAGCCCCCCACTCAGGAAGACAATGCAACATTTTTTTCACAACAGGAAATTAAAGTGCACATAATGCATGACATGTATACAATGGCAGTTGACATTTGACAATTCAGCTTTTATCTGCCTTAGTTTGATGTGTTATAAATATATTAATAAAAATAATATGAAGTTGTCACTCGTTTATAGAGGTGATGGACACCAGTGATATAATGGGTTAGTATTATCCATGAATTTGAAAGTAAGTGTATAATACAGCTCAAGACAATACGAGTATCAACCGGCTCTACAAAAAGTGATATCAAGTTATAACCTTTTTATCACATGACCATCTTTTAATGTCAAAAGAACAAAAATTATGATTTTACGCTATAATGTATAAGCAGGTCAACGAATGCATATTTGCTGTTACGATCTCCACTGCTTTTTGAAATTAGCAGAAATATTATCCTTATTAGCGATAAATACATTTTTTTGTCATCACTATTTTCATTGCACCATGTGAATAATTGTTCTTATCCAGTTTGAAAGTCTCACATCGCGCAACATAAAAGGGTGCCATCGCAGGATTTTTTTTCTCAGTGTACTGTTTGAGTACACAGAGACTTGATGACATATATCTTGCCTATCACCATGTTTAGTATGAAATTGATCAGTTATTGATGTTTTACAAAAAAACAACATCATTACCATGAATGATTTGCATCACGGTCATGTGATTTTAAGTGTATCCACTATCATAGCTTGGTGATAACCCTGACCAATTTGTTGCTTTTATGAAAATTACCGATTGTACACTTCTTTTCATTTCAGGCTATCGTGCGTATGCATGTCAGTGCAAATGGCGTTCTGTTCGAGAGTTCGTGGATTTACAAAAAGAGACTGATTTGAAATGGGTGTGTGGTAAACACACGGAATAACCGTCCATTTGTAACATTTGTGTCATGTCGTTCGGCTAGTGGAGAATTGCATAGAATTATATAATTACAAAGAGACACCCATGTAACAACGTGACTGCGTGGAAGGCTATAGCTGCCATCAACACCAATACTGAGTTTGGATCATTCAGTCAGTGTTAACAGTAATTTTCTTGCCATACAATTATTAAAACCAACCAAATCTTCCATACACTGCAACATCATTTATTTATTAGTCTTAACACATCATCTACTGAGAGTCTCCACCGATAGCTCAAATGAATAGGAAAAACTCGGCTGATCTGCACTGGCTCGGAAGATGAATTCTGATTGGCTAAAAAAACAAAAAAACTTGTGGCGTTGAATGCACGTTCATTGTCAGTATTGTTATGCAAATTCAAACTAGCTAATCATTTACAACCTTCCGAGCCAGTGCAGATTAGCCCGAAAAACTCAGTGTCATTGATGTGTTTCATTCACTTAATATTTATAACTATGAACACTGTAATTTTACCTACCAACATTTTGGTACAGCATTTAGCTCGTTTTTATCCTTTTTTTCTTCCAATTTCTTGTTGATTTTCGGGCATTATTTCCCAGAATTAAAAAAAATGCCATGAGGAATTCTTTTTTTGTTGTAAAAGATGACCTTTGGAGGTCAAGGGTAACTAATAATAAAATAATGAGTCATATTGTGTTTGTACATTTTCATTAAATTTGACAAATTCAATTTAAAGAAGGTAACGAGATTAAAAACCAATTGAATAATTAATGTACTTAGAGTATTTGTTAAATTGGTAAAGATCCAGTTAAATAATTAAAATTTTAATTAACTTGTCAATCAAGGTATCTATGTTTTCACTTTTGTCTTGTTGAACTAATGCTGTTTGTGTTTAAAGCTTTTAATTTTTGTCGTTGCATTTATTCTGTTAAAAAAAGGCAAGTTTTCCCATTAACAAAGTTCAAAGGTCACTTTATGTATAAATTAACAATTTATTGCTGTGTTGACACTGCGTGAACTAAACAAGTCTCTATTTGGAAGTGTCAGACGTACTAGCAACCAATTGCTCATGAATAATTCATTGGATTATCAACCTTCTACCAGTTGCCAATTTTCAGTATCTTATTTTTAAGAATACACTCCTGCAAACGATCAAATCCTATTACTAAAACTGATGTGTATATTTCCATTGTGATATTAAAGCTGGGGAGTCATCACCTGCGCATGCGTCAGATGACCATAGCGTGTCACTATTTACAAACAAGCATCTATCCATGAGCCTTTGCGTTTTTAACGTGTGTTGTTATTGTCGATTAGGACTCAATTCCCGCGCATGCGCAGGTGTCAACCCTCTCGCTTTAAAGAAATTGTGATATGACAACATTAATTCAATTTAGATCCTATATTGCATGTTACAGCAGATAGGTATTTATACAAAATCCGAACACATTTAATTGTTTGTCAGGGCTTGACGTTAAAATAATAATTATAGTCTATATGTTGCAGTAATATTATGAATTTGTCATTGTAGTACGGGGAGACTTGATTGTTTTGAGATGTTTTAAAATGTTGATTTTTTAGAAAATAGATATGCCAACAATTGTACATTCAGGGATTGTATTAACCCCAGATTTTGTTACACAGGCTCATTTTAGAGAATGACCTCTATTTGAAACACGAAAGCATTTTATTATCTCCTTTGTTCCAAAATAAATAAAAAAGTAATACAAAAATACATAAAAATGTTAAAAATGTTGTTAAATATGTTGTTAAAACCTAGTAATAGTTAACCATTTGGCATTTCCCATCATCCTTTGTATGCAACAAATACCATCAAAGGGCAGTAGTCGTCGCGCCACGCATGCGCGAGACTTACGGGTCTCATATAAACAAAGATGGCGACTTTAACTATTGCGCAGATCACCGAGTACAAACTGAGACATTACCAAGTTTTAATTAGGTATTTTTTAGGTGATTGGAAGGTATCAAAGGAGTCATCGACGGTTATTAGTGCATGTCGCGTCCAGGTCAAACCGCATACTTATGATTTCTATCAGAAGAGCGCATTGGATTATGGGAAAATCAATCAGCACAAATGTCGCACATGCGCAGCGCGACGACCACCGCCATTTAAATCTGCATTCAAAAATGATATCCACAATTTATTTCATGTGGTTGAGTTGACCAGAGATGACTTATTTGTATTCAGTGGTTTTGGTGATTGAAATGAAATGACATTATTATTCATTTGAGGAACTGAAAATAATAGATTTTGACGTACCCGTACTATAAAAACCTGTATATTCATTCAGTCATGATATTTGTATTTGTAAATGTTTTGAATTTGCATTTATTTGGGGTAAAATATGTCGCCAACATTGAATGTATTCCACGTTATTTATGTCATATTCGAACAATATAGCGTATGGCGAAATAAAAAACCTGTTACTGAATACAAAGACACTGAGACACAGGTGTCTTGTATTTGCTGTCATTTTGAGATGTTTCTTATTTATCACTTCTTGATGTACACTTAAAATAATATAATTATCACAAGGATACTAGAAAGTATGCACCCAGGCAGTGTACAGTGTACAGTTTTCTTGTTAGCTCCGCTGTCGACTTTGTCGAGCGAAGCTTATCATATGAGTCGTCGTCTGTGTCAATGTTTTACATTTTCAACTTCTTCTTGAAAACTACAAGCCTGAATGCTTTGATACTTGGTGTATATGTCTACCTTGGGTAGACCTCTCTTAGATTTGTTCATTTCCTGATGATATCTTCAATTATCTAATTTTGATGATTATTTTTGTAATTTTTAGTGAAAAGTGATATTTTTGAATTCTTGTTGAAAACAGAATGTCCCGTTGCCTTGATACTAAACATATTGTTCATTTTCTAATGATATCTTCAGTTCTTTAATTGAAATGTGCATTGCTAACAGCGGAGCTATCTCAGCCGACAGGCTGCTTGTGATAACTTTGTTACCTGTGATCTTCTAGATGCAATTGAATTAAATGTGACACAGTATAATATGCAAATCCTAGTATAATATGAATAACGCCACTTTTTACTACGCAACTCTTTAGGTGAAAAAATAATGTTATGTATTTATAAGTTCAACATTTGTTGTTTCACGGCTGATTTTGACGTCATTTACAGATTTAAAAGTAGTACACACATGTACCACATACAATGTACTTTACAAATCCCCTTTTCCATCCATTTGAAAGTTTGCTTGAACTTGGAACAGTCTTGTCATTTAACAGCAGTGTTTTTTGTCAATTTTTTTTTCTTAATGTGATACTGAGTCAAGATGATTTGTGGTACTGTGTAAACACATACTATTCTAGGATGTTCATTGTATCCCGATGCACACATCACCTAGACAGTTAGAAAATTTATTTGTAAATCACCTAGAATTCATTTTCCAGCTATATTTGCATGAAATTATCATGATATATCATGTGTTATTAGTACCATTTTAATTTTCACTCAGTAGTACATGAATTGAAAAAAAAAAAGAGAAAAACATTGTGAAAAACATTCAATGAATTAAGTAAAATACTGTAATATTGTAACTTTATAGTTTTATGTTTGTAACTTATGGTTTTCATTATACTCAACTACAAAAATGTAGCGTATTTGTTCTATTATTAGCGCAAATGTAAATTATAGAGGTGTTTCTATGGCCAAAATAAGTCACATTTTAATGAATCGTGTACAACAGATGTGATTTGGGTGTATATGCACTTCTAATGGAGCGAATACGGTAGTTGGAATTCTTTATTATTTGTTTGCTCTGACACAGTTGTTGTATTTTATATTTAATTTTATCCTTTTTGTAGAAAATATTTAGATCATATAAAATCAAAATAATATGTTCCATTTTTTTGCATTCTTAGTTTCTGTTTTATTTGTTCCAGGTTTATTTGACTCGTTACTGTAAAATGACTAGTTTTCACTGGGTTTAAGTTTTGCTTATTTACCATTTCAGGTATATTTAGTGGGTTTTAAATATCCTTCAGATAATATGTTCTATGGTAAATTTTAAATATTCACTGGGTTTTAATAGAGCGCATTTTCCAGTCAGTGAAATAAGCAAAATTAAAACCCAGTGAATAATTAACCCTTTTACAGTATTTGAGAATTTCGAAAAATACAATGATGTAAACTTTAGTGTGACTCTTTCTACCAATCCCTGGTGATTCCTGTATAATTACATAATTTGCTGTCTATTCTAATTCAGCACGTATCACGTGTGTTTGTAGCTAATACGTTCATGATCCTATCCACCCACTGCCATTTCCTCAGAATAGATCGCAATTTTAATAGATTTCAAGAAAAATCAAACATTGTAGTCTCAGATTTTTGAACAACTGGTATAAAGATGTTTATTTGTTGAGTGATTGTATCTGACATATGTCTGAATCTCAACATGGCTTAGTATTCTCTACAGCAGTTTGTAATGTGGAAATATATACCAATATTGTTGATTAATAAGATAAGAGTATGTGATGAAGACCCCCTTGTGATTTGAAGAAAAGTTGTAAAAAAACGTTGAAATGATCACAAAATTAAATACAGTTTTGATTGTTGTTTTTTTTGCTAAGAAGTGTCATTGCTTATCAGGAAAGGATACATTACATGCGTTTTGTATTTTTGAAAACAGAAATAATGTCACTTGTCTCTTTTAACACAATAAAACTTTTTCCAATCGTCCACTGCGTACTGTGAGGCCATTGGTTGAAATATGTTTGATTGACATGCATGACACACTGAATTTACGAGATCATGAGATCACCACCGCACTCGTGTATCAAAGTTTGATGATACCCTTATTTTCTAAGTCCTTGCTGATTGATATACACTTTAAAAAATTTGATCTACAGTTTTTTTTTTTTTTTTTTAAGCTAGGATTGTTTACTTTGGTGGAACTAATAGGATTTACTGATTTACAACTTTAATTGTTTAAGTTGATGTCCAGTAAATTTAATTGGCTTTTTATTTTTACGAATGTAGTCACATGACATCAAGTTTGTTGTAGCGCATACAAATTAGTAAATGACAACAATATAAATGGCTTACAGTTTGTTTTTACATTTGAGTTGCATCTGGAAATTGTATTGTAGGTAAACTATTTACTTAGCTTTAAAATGAATTTGGGTCATTAGACGTGCGTTTCAAATACAGCAACTTTTGGGTTGTTTCTTTAGAAGTCATGGGTGATTCTATTTATATGTTGGTATAATTGGATAGGACAAAATGAATTACATAGGTACCATGATTAATTTGCATATAATTTGTATATATGTGACCAGTATGTTATCCAATCAATTTCAGACAAATCAAACTTTTTTTTTTTGTTCAGTATCAGTTGTTACCATAGAAACAAAAAAGAGTGTCCAAACTTTGTTCCCTTTAGTTTTGATATTTTAGTGATCCCACTGAATGTCCAAGAATCTGATTATTATTTAATTTAATTTAGTTTAATCAATTTGTTTGTTATCGTCCTCATTTTCAACTATTGCGTTATACAAATAATCACATAGTCATTTCAGTTTGATAGCTACGATAGGCTTTATTTATCATTATATAAAGTTTACATAAACCACTGGAAAATGTTATAAAGTTATAAAAAAAAAAGTAAAATAAAACATTCACAGAAATTATTTTGTGTGTGTGTATTTGTTGTTCCATGTAAAATAGTTGCTCCAAGACAGTTTTCATGCTTTGTAAACAGAGGTACAATTGTATGTTTTCTCTGGAATACTTGATCACATGTTACTCCCATTCTGTTAATTTTATTTTCACTCAAATCAACTTAATTGTCCTAATTCTGTCATTTCTAGGGGATTTTCAGCTCCAGCAATACATTTTGGAAGTATATATATATATATAAAAGTGTTCCTGTCTTGTGCTATGAATATGACCAGCCATTCATATTCAAGAGAAGTTTTGGAGAATGTGTTTTTCTGCCCAGTGTTATTTTCTCAGACATGCTTTGTCTAATTTGATACACATGAATTTGCTATCATATTTGTGGTGTCTCCTGACAGCCATGTTTTATTTTTCGCGTGTTTTCTCATCCATCTATTCAATGTCATTCATTAGACAGGGTGTTTTCAGTTAAGTGCAGTCACGTGAATGTACACTTTACAACATAGTATAGCCCTCAGTGCGCTTGCGTATTGGATAAATTACATAATTCATGGACGAATGATTACTAAACTTGTCCTGGACAAAGCAAACTCTGGTCAGTTTATTACCCGAAAATACCTTAAACCTTTAAATACCACATTTTCCCCCATTTTAGGTTTATTTTCTATATTTTTTTGTTAGTTTTTAAAACAAAATGTGTTCATTCTGTGGAAGATGACACAACTTGATTTCGGCGTTCGAACTGAATTAAGAAGTATAGGTTATTTTCTTTATGGATTATGGACGTATACATTGTTTTTAGTGTGAAGTTGTCTCCCATAATGCATTGCAAATGGAAGGTACTAATGATTAGCCACAGTTCCATAGAGGGACTGTGAAAAGATCACATCTTTATTCCCATCCCACTGAAATGTTGAACACGTGTTAAAGATACCTGAGTGTTTAAATTTAAATTACACCAATAACCGTGCATGGAATCACGGTTTCGATGTTTGTGTCCATCGGAATGGAAATCGATAAATGTAATTTCGTTTTCCGCGGAGTAACTGTACTGCTGAATATCTCTGAAACAGAGAGGCAAGGGTTATTTTCGTTCAACGTAATTGCAATATTTTTTTGTTCGTACAACGTAGATTGAAAAAATAAATTCCGTAATTCTGTAATCACAGGCTAGACGTACAACGTAATCGATCAAATATTTGTTTCGTACACTGTAAAAATGTGTCATTTTTCTCGGTACGTACAAGAATTTACATCCAAATTAAAAAAAAGTCGTAAAGAATAATCCAGGGAAATTACATTTTCGAAACTGTAAAAAGACTAGATGACACAATTCACTGCAAAATTCAATTTTCACTGTAAACTGTAAAAACGTATTTTTTTCCCTTGTAAATTGTAAACAGCCCTTTTTATTTCCCGTAAAACTGTACAAGCTATCCCCCTTGCCCCCCTCTTTACACATACACTGACGTCACATGTTAGTTTGAAGAAATTTACATTGCTTGCCGCGAAACGATAATGATACTTCTGGTATTCGTTTCGGAAAGAGATGGTCTTAAAGATGGATGAGTACATGTATTTGTTAAAGGGCGGTGGCCGTCGTACAGCGTCCTGTTCGATATGGGACTCATAGCGACGTACCCGACGCATCCCCAATAGAAGCACATGTAAGCCAACAGTTGCATTGTATATTGATTTATTAAAATATGTATTTTGACCATAAAAACACCTCTGTCACTTACATAAGTGCATATTTATTACCGATATTTATACCTATCTTGACCAGAAATAAGACCGATATATATACCTAAAATCCAAAAAACCACACCCATTTCAGGGACACGTCCCCATTAGGCAAGTTCTATGTACCCCCGGGGAACGTGCAATGAACGTCTTCCTCATTGACATCTGATGATGGTAGGACAAGAGAGCGAACGAAGTTCAAATTATACGGGCATTACGTATTCATGGCCCACATCTATTCATTCTGGATTAATGAGTGTCCTTCATGAACAGTGCTGGTACATCAAGTTCATTCAACCTCAGGCAACTATTCTGAGACTCAACCTACTAGTTGACATGTGCTGACCCTTGATTCTGACTGACTATGTTTGAATGTTGTTGGTCGTAAAATAAACGCTGGGAATACCAGGACTGAACACCATGGAATCTAGTAACTCCAATAGCCGGAATGCTACGCGGTTGAACAGACCTGCAGCGTATCGATCACGGTGGTTACAGGGCTATGATCATGGGTAAGTCATCAAATACAGTACTACGAAGTGCAATTTCATCTTATTCTCTCTGATCATTGTCGAGAAGTTCAGCGACTGTTTTTTTATTCTCAGAGGCCAACACTAACTATCTCGACTTTGACATCACTGTGGCAACTTACCGCGCGCATACCTATACCACGGTATACCACCCAATATATGATAGATATCTACAAAGTTTTAAAAGCTAATTACCCCTTGAAAGGCGCAGAACACGCTACTTACTACTAATTAATGTGCAAACTTGAAAAGAAACAAACATAAATAAAATACCATTTTTGTTTTGTTTTGTCTGTTGATTGGAATAATTATATAAGTATTTACTCTTAACAAACATTTATATTTGTATATTAATATTGAGAGGAAAATGGCGTATGAATACGTAACGTTACACGGGATAAGTCGATATTGTCAAAATCGTAAAAATGCGTAGTTTACGAATTATATTCAACGTGTTGTTTCTCAAATTTGCATATTAATTACGGTAATCAACTAGCATGGGTGATAAAACTATGAATATATTACCATATTTAGAAACAGTGTCAACAGATTGTCATTTAGGATGATATTTTCTGTAACTGTCGCGTGTTTAATTTAATTCAAATGGGGGATAGTTTTGCATATTATGCATGTATAATGTTAATAGGTTGTCAAGTTACGTAACATCCCTAAGGTTCGCACATCCTGATGTTTTTTGGGGTATAAATATAAATGGGAAAAGTTCAATATCCTATCGCAACATTATCCATTTTGAATCTAGTTGATTGTTTAATATGGGAATTACGGGTTATGAATGATTAGGTACTGGCAGTTTGATGGTAGGTAGCCTTCAAGATAGTGAGCCCTCAACTTGTACTTGCTACCATATCCAACTCATCAGCATTACACGAAATTTCCTCTGAAGTGACTACATTTAGAAAGCCATTGTAAGGTGCTAACACAGCACAAGTTTATCACAGAGTTGCATAAAACTGAGAAAAGATGCGTATTCCCAAATATATGCTTATCGTACATAGAGATGGAGATAGTTTATGGACTTGCCGCGCGTACAGTCTTACTTTACAATGAGTGAAATACAGACTTGTTGCTTTA